AGGATACTTTATAATTAAGCCTTGTGGTAAACTATTTCAGAGTTTGGAAAGCCCTGTATCCATGGTGCTCCCTCTTCAGCCTTGACCTCTGATGTGTAGGAAATGTCAGTGGCCTCAGTGCACACACATGTAGACACGGCTTTATAAAAGTTTAAACCAGTTTTTTTTCAAGTATCTTACTACTTAGTCATATTCCTGAATGTCCTGACATTTTAAAACTGAAAGGTATCTAAGATATTTTTGTAAGGACACCAAGGGCTGGAATGACATATGGTTTATGTTCTTCACATCTTTATTACATTAGTTTAGGCTCAACTATGAGAAAAACAGAGAACCTCAAAGCATTTACTCCTAATTTTCATTAAAGTATATCTTCAAGTAGATGATCCAGGAAGTTCTTAAGGATGGGTTTATTTTTGCCCTCCAAGTTGAAGAATCTAATTCTTTACAGTATCACCCAATTCCTCACTGATACATCTACAGCATAACTCCTGCAGCCAAGGCCCAGGGATATTGAAAGAGTCAGAGGAACAGGCCGCTTTCTGTGAGTTTGCACCTCCTAGGAATGTTAAATGTTACACCAATAAAGTCTCAGCAGCATGACTGCCTAAACATGAAATGAACAAGGGCAACGACAATAGATATGCTAAAGTTGACAGGGGAAGCCCATGAGGCTTCAGCCCTAAAGAGAGTACAGGCAGCTAAAGAAGGCTGAGGGTGTGAGAAAATCTTCTCCAGTGAAGAGCTCACCAAGCAGTTACCCCATATCCAATGGTCAGCACCAAAAACATGCATACAAGTAACATTCTACAGATTGAGAAAGGTATAGTTATGTATTTAGGAATATATATGCATATACATGTGTGCATACACACACGTTTGTGCACATGTACATATCAACAATTATTGAAAAAGAAGATGTCATGAATTCAAAAATGAGTAAAGGATGTTAGGTGGGAGGATTTAGATGAATGAAAAAGAAAGGGGAGAATGGTGTAATTTTATTATTATACAAAAATAGATCAATGGAATAGGGTTGACTTTTGGCTCTGAATAGGTCCCCTGTTCTACATGTGTGGAGTGGAATTGAGTAGGTAGTACTTTGTCTTAATGAAACATCTATAAATAAGCATTATAGGTATGGACACATGGCAAGTATTAACAATTTCTTAAAAACTTGGCATGCAAACTATAGTCAACTAAAAGGATATAAACTCTGGAAAATTATTTTCCATCTGTACAGATAAAACTTAACAGCTATGAAATAAACGAAGACTGTGATAATTAAATAATTAAAATAAACTGACATGATTAAGAGGAAGTAAGATGTATATATTGAAATTCACTTATTTTAGCAAATATATTACCTATTTGTTGTCAGTAGTGTGTTTGCCCTTCCCATTGTCCACTGGACTGGCACATAGATCCAGCCTCCATACATGTCCAATGTCAGCACGACCCTTTGAAGACCTGATTTCCGTTCCTTGCTATCATCTCTTTCCCCTTTAATTCCATTAATTCACAAAAGTGGTGCAATATGTTAGACTATGTGATCCCGCATTCCCTGTTCCATAAATCATCTGATAGGCTGGGTTCCTGCCCTTCTTTGTATGCCGGATTCTTCTCACTGTTAAAAACAAACAACAACAACAACAAAAAACGAAAGCAAAAATACTTGTGTAACAAACAGAAAATAGCACTGTTCTTTGATTAGTCACAAACCCAAATACCACAAAATTAACTGTGGTAACATGTTAATCAACACCCTGGATACCTTTAAGTTGTGACCTTATAAGTCTAGAGGAAGAATATAAAGTTCATACTAAGAACAATTAGTGAGCATTAAATCAGTCATTCATTATTTAGACCATGATATGGATTAACTATGTTCAAACTCACCCATAGTGAAAAGTCAAGGTTTTTTTTTTGGTTTTTGTTTCTTTTTTGTTGCTGTTGTTGTTAAATTCTGACTCACTGGGACAAATTGTGTCTAGCATGGAGCCAAGTGGGGAGAAAGACTGTTCTTATAACTCTTCTTTGTCATCTGTCACTCAACCCCAATTTGCTTCCTATGAATTATGACAAAGACTCAAATGATGATTTCAATTTTCCAAAGTCAAATATTAGATAATATTTAATTTGGCAAACACCATAATGGCATATTTTCTAGTCGAGACTCCAGAAAGGACAGCCTTCTCTACTGTGTTCCCTTTGCTTCTGATCTCGTCCAAACCACTGTTAGAAGGCATGCCTTGTATTCTTAGTTAGCTTCCCTTGACCCTTTGGGGTTGTTGTGAATATTTCCCCCTAAGGATTTAGGGACATTTCTTGGCATGAATAATTGTCCGCATCTTCCCTGGCTTGCTATCTGGTGAAAACGTGTGTGACCCTTAGGCCAGTTGCTTTTCCATACAGACTGTTTTTGTAACGAAAGAATGTATCTTGTAAGCATGCCCAGAGGCGTTGCTAGTAGGACCTTCCCATAAACACTTCAATAGTTTATCTTTGACTGCTGTTTATGTAAAATGTTCTGGTTTTTAGATGGAAACTCTAATTATTAAATTTGATAAAAAAGCAAATCTTGTAAATAGTTGCTAACTTTAACATTATTTAAATTGTACTTTATTAGAGAAAAAAATCATGTAAAATTGCCATAGTTATGATAAAAAATGCTTAATAGTGCTAATTTTACATTTTGACCAAGCAGTTTTTTCTTTCCTAAGAGAGCCAGAAAAAAGTTAAATGCTCAGCTTGAAGAGAAAAGACAAGCCCAGTCGTTCATCAGCTGTGTGACGAGGACCATGTATGTAAGTTTGGTTGGGCCTCAGTTCCTTCATCTAAGAAGCTGGGCTTTCACAGTTTGCTCTGAACCACATTCTTGTGAATATAAAGGAATTGGTACATAGGGAAAGTATCCTAAAGACCACAGTAAAGACACTGGGAATTGTTATATTGGATCGAACTGACATTTCGTTTCTCTCTTCTCTCTGGATTTCGTTCTCTTGACTTTCCTGATGGGTGAGTTTGATTTTGTTTGGGGACTTCTCGTGCGTGCCCGACTTATTGCCTGGCCTTGGGCGCTTTATTTTGCATTGGGCTGTGGACATTAGGAGCTCTGTGGAACAGAGTTACTGGCCCCTTCTGAACAAGAGAGTCAGCTTAGGCAAGCTTGCTTCACAGCTCACACTGCCAGGAAAATGCAAGGATTCAGTGATCTTTTCCCCTGGCTGGCTCTTAGGAGGGCATTTAAAATTAGTATGCCTGTGCCCAAACTGATAGCATTGAACCAGAGCTGCCATGCAGAAGGAAGTTTGATTCACCAAACATTTCTCTAATAATTAATCTTTAGCAAGCACGGATTGCACACTATGCTGGTCAACAGGACTGAGCTAACCTCCAGTAGCCTACAGTATAATATACACACTTCTGTGTAGACATGTATGCTCCCTGGGTTTGTCACAAGTGTCCCTACTTTACAGACAAGAAAACCGAAAGAGAATCTATAATGCCCTGATTCAGGGTGTGATGTTTCTCTAAAGCAAAGAAAGCAAAACCCAGAAGTTTTGTCCTCTGAGAGATTATATGCTGAACAGAAGTCATTTCCTGAGAGATGTGTGCTCTCCTGGCAGAAATGACAAATGATATATTGGTAGATCCAGTGCCAAGGAAATATTCGGCCCCTTGTTTTAAAATTAATAAAAATTTAGAACAAGTACGTAACCACACCATGTTGACTCAAGAGTGGAAAGTCAGTGTCCTGGACCTGTGAGGTGGCCCAGCAGCACAACAATCCTGGCCCGGCAGGACTGACTGACTCTCGGTCTACCCTCTGCGTCTGTATCGGTGCCCTGTGATCCTGAGTAAGGAAGCAAGGTTGAAAAAAACAGTAGCGCGCAGTCTGTTTATCATGTCTGCCCGGTGGTCAGCCGAGGGATCCTGAGGCCATGAGGCATGTGGCAGGACAGCAGAGCTCTCTGGTTGCAGTCCTGTGAAATAAATGAGAAGTACCAACCACGTTTTCGGGCTATCAGGAAATAGGGCAAAGAAACAGGAAGCTCTGGGGACTCCAGGCACCCACAAAGAGGGAATCACCTTGCCCACTTCGTAACGGTGGTCAAAACGGTGAAATTTTTGTGCCTTTTGAGCTTGGAGGAGTCTGCAGAAGAGACAGTCTGACTGACTACTCCAAAGCATTCTGTTTCTGAAAACTGTACCCAAAAATAATCCTTAGCCTTTTCCCTCGGTAAGTAGTGCATGCCTGTGATTATTTCTCAGACCTTAGAGACCCTATGATCGGTCAATATAATCCCTATGATTCGGGTCAAGCAAACCATGTGTTTACTTGAGTATAAAGCTGATGTAGCCCAGAGAAAGAACCAGGTGTGTTTCCTGTCTCAAATGGTGGTTCGGCTCTTCTGGGTGCTATTCAGGGCACTGACTGGGATGTGTCCACTGTCATCTCTTGAGATTGTCATTTTATATAGTGCCTTTCTCCCTAATCCCTAGCCATCTGATGTACTTTTTTATGTCTCCTGAACTTAAACACCGAAAATAAAATGGATACGATCTAAAGTTCTAACAGCCTGTAACACTGACAGGGTGCATGTTCAGATGCCTTCCATGGATTTATTTTATAGTTCCCTTAGGATTTCTACGAAGCAGTTTAGTTATTGTATGCCTAATATAGAAGTCACCAAAAATATGAAAAAATAAGGAAAAAAATGAAATCAGCTATATGCTAAACATAAAGTGTTTGCTGTTCCTTACTACTTAAATGTGTGCATACACATGGTAAGAAAGACTGTGTCTTGGCTGCTTTGGGAGTGTATGCAATAATTTCAATTAGAGAGTTCTTAAAATGTCTCTGTTAAAAGTGTTTCCTGCAAAATGAATCATCTGTTGTGTGTCTTGAAGCTTTCAGAGTTCCTCTGCATGACTTGGGGATTTAGCTGAATAAATTACCCCTGCCTTTTGAATTATTAATCTTGGCTGCATGATATGCAAATCAGACTGCCCTGGTCATGTCTAGCGACACAGCACTGGGGCAGAAGCTCTCTCCAGCTCCTGGCAGGGTTTCTGTCAAGAGAAAGGCCGTCAGCAGAATGGTAAGGGACACTCCAGCCTATGCCTCCCCGACACACTAAGGGAGGGCAGACTTTCTGGTGAGGGTTACTTTTCAAAGTGGCCCGTGAACTGAACGGTGCTCAGGGAACTGCTCTTAAGTAAATGTGAAGCAGCAAAGGACAAGGCTGTCACATCTGACTGTCACATCTCCTTTCTATGGCTCTACATGCACTGATTTAATGGCTAAGTACTACATTTATTTTACTTTAAAAGATTTACTGTATTTGATAATGTCTCAAAAAAATTATAAATTATTTGAATAAATAAAAGTATTTACAGAAAGGGGGAATAATCTTTCATCATGAAAAATAATTTACAATATAAATTTAAAGAAAAATATAATAGGGTGAATTTCTAATCATTAGAAACTTTAAATTTTGCATTTGCATGTAGCAAAATGAGTATATTTAAGAGAAGATATACTAAAAGAACTGGAAGGCTGTAGAAGAAATTGCTTTGGAATGTTACTCACCAGAATATTCCAAATTGTATAACCTATTCTCTAACAATTTAATGAAAACTGTGAATTGATACAAACTAGAATTTTAAAGCTATGGTGTTATTGGAGGAATATAGAAAAGCAAAGTAATTAATAAGTACCAAATGCTTGTTGTAATGTGTTCCTTACGATGCAACTTTCCAGGGTCAGCTGAAATTTTAATTTCTGTTAGGCTCTTTATAATGATCAAGGATATAGAATAACATTTTTATTAGAATAAGGGGATTTTTTGTTAATGTCAAATTTTGAAACTTCTAATAAAGAACACAGATTATTTTCACATTTAAGAGTACTGATTTTATAATGAATTTTCTATTATTTCAAAATAAAAGTGAGTGTTAGCAATTTTCTTATGTGAGTGATTCAGTTTGTTCTGTGGCTCATTAGCTCTAGCAGACATGGTGTGTGGGGGCTAGGAACTAGCCATTTCACGGCAGTGGTCAATGTGTTTCTTAAAGAAAATGCTGTGCTAATGTGTGTTCACCCAGAGAAGCAACAGCATGTTAGTCAGCACGCCCATTGCCTAAAAACAGGATGGCTTCCAGGAAATGGAAAAGAGGCTAGTAATACTCCATTGGAAATGCCCCCTTGTATTGGGAGTTTTGCTTTAATGAACACACGTTATTTTCTTAATTTATATAATTATGTGGTAGCAAAAATACTCTCCAATATACATATCACTGAATTTGGAATGCAATGTTCTCAAAAGAGTGAGTTCTCATGAAGTTAAAGCAACCTACAAGTATTGGACAGCCTGTCTCTAGAAAACCATACCCTGCTAGTGCTGTACATGTGGAAAAGGCTGTAAAAGTACTACAACTGATTGGTTTCAAAATTTCCTTGACTTTTTGCTATTTGTATCCACTGTATTATACAGTTAATTTGTACTTTATCCACATACTTTATGCTTTTGTTTATTTCTTGTCCTTTAGATTATAATTATCCTTTATATATCTTTTAGATTATATATATATATATATTTTCTTTAGATTATAATTGTCCTTTATATTATAATTACATTATGTTTCTCTTTGCTTTTCTCCATCTAAACCTTTTTTTTTTGGTTTGCTTGTTTATTTTTTTGCTTTCTTGCTCTCTTTCAAATTCGTGGCCTCTTTTTTCATTAATTGCTATTATATACATATAAATATATACATACATATATATACCTAAATACAACCTATTCAGTCCATATAATGTTATTTACAAAACACCTCTTGTAACAAAGGAAATTGTGGAAGAGGGGCAGGAAGACTGTAAGGTTGTATGATCAGGGAGCTTCCTGTGAGACTGCGTCTCCTAGTAATGACAGAAGCTGCACCCACAAATCGCATCAACATGACCACCAAAACTGAACTGAACAAGAACAACAACAATAAGCAAGCTGAGTGAGTTGGGGAAAAACCCCGAGGTCTCAACCCCAACAAGGAACTACAGCCAACTAAGGAACACAGAGAGCGGGAGCAATAGTCTTACCCAGGGAAGAGCAATTACTTATCCAAAACCACACGGTCAACCTGAAAATAAACACTTTCAAAGTTAGGATGTTGTGGTGGAGGGTGTTTGTTTAAAAGCAAGATTTGCTCTAGGAGAAGCTATACAAAGGTATGGATTAATAAATGAAAGTAATCAATTAATTTAGCCATTTATTTTCTTTAGCTGGCCCTGGTATTCTCTATTTTTACTAAACCCTCAGTCTTTAGGCTCTCTAGATTACTAGAAGACAGAATTCTCCATCACTTCACCTTGGCCCCTGACTTGCAGATTGGTAGCTACTGGCATCCTGGCATCGAGTTACATATGTCTTGGTGGATGTATTTTCCATTTCATTTTGTGATCCATACAAATTACATAAACCATGGCACTTCCTCAGCTTAAGTGGTATCCGATATAATCAGAGAAAGAGGAAATTCAGAAGGAAATAAATGAGTTTCTTAGCTGAAGGAAACTTCCCTTTGTCTTAATTTTTATTTAATGTATGTATCAATGCCTCAGTATTTCCCACATGACATAAAGATCACAAACTGAGTCTTGGAGATTTCCAGCATTAAGGTCTAGACAAACAAGAATTAGTGACAAAAGAACTGGCAGATAGAGAAAAGGGAGAAGAGTCTGTAATGTTCTAGAAGTCAAGGAGAAAAAAACCATCCACACTAATGGCACTGAGAGCTACAGCAGTGAGTCTAACAGTGAGAACTGTTTGTCATGGAAGGAGCCATGCATGTTAGCTTTTTAGAAACCCATACCTCCCTATTTTTTACTTTTTTTTAGGTTTTGAAAATTTCACATGAGTACTATATTTGCATCATTTCCTCCTTTGTCTCCCCTCCCATGCAACTTCTCCTGTGTTCTTCTACTCCTCAAAATTTTCTGTAACTTTTGTTACAGACAGGCATGCATACACACAGAGAGACACATATTTAGTTAATACATATGTACATATGTATTATACATATACATATATGTATATCCCACCATTAAGCCCATCTACTGTTGCTTGTACACACACATGCTTAGCTGTGATCACTTGGGATTCAATAACATCAGGGGGCTCATCTCTAGAGATAACTGATTTCCCCTCTCCCAATACCTGTAGACTGCCACTGTCTGCTCCTCTAAGGGAGGCTGCTGAAATCTCTCCTGTTCAAATGGGCATGTCCACAGGTGTTGTCATTACATACGTTTTGTTTAGGCAGCTACTTCGCTGAGGTTTTCTGGATGCAACTTGCCTGCCATGTCTATAAGATACTATTTCATGGTCTACACCTGTCCGCTAAGTCATTCTGTCCCCATTCCACAAGTTCTCTGAGCCTTAGGTTTAGACGCTGTAAATGTACTCACTGGGGCTGGACAACCCATGGCTACTTGTTAACCAGTTTGTGGATATCTGCAATTAGTCTCCATCTGGGAAAAAAGGAACTTTTTTTTTTTTTTTTTGGTTTTTCGAGACAGGGTTTCTCTGTGGCTTTGCAGCCTGTCCTGGCACTAGCTCTTGTAGACCAGGCTGACCTTGAACTCACAGAGATTCGCCTGCCTCTGCCTCCTAAGAGGAACTTCTTTAATAAGAGGTGAGAGTTGTACTTATCTGACTGGACTGATGTATAGGCTTTCTTGTTTTGTTTTATTTTTGTTTTTTAAGAAAGGATTTCTTGGTGTGTCTTCTGCTGTCCTGGAACTCACTCTGTAGACCTGGCTGACCTCAAACTCGCAGAGATCCACCTGCTTCTGCCTCTCAAGTCTAGGGTCAATCTTTTAATTTCTTATAATTTAAAAGTTTTATGTTACTAATTATTTCATCCTTTGTTTTATTTTTAAAAGCTAAATAAGCACAGACAGACAGACATAAAGATAAGCCAAAGGAGAAGTGACATGATAAAAGTGATCTGGAATTTTGCTGCTAAGGCTTGAACCATTAGTATTTTGGTATATATCTTTTCAGATTGCTACATGTTTAGCAGTTTCAGATTAATTAATGTCCTTAAATCTTGAAACCAGTTCTAGAAGTTATATATCAAAGTTTGTTTTATACAAATCTGTTTATAAATCAGAGGTTTCACTGCCACAGTGACTGATTTTGTATATGTATATATATATATTATATATATATATATCCTATTATGCACAGGGTAAGCTTTTATGGGGAAATAGATTAGCAGATCTTATTTTGTAGATTTACTATTTCTCTAGCCTTGGAGGAAGTATTTATGAAACTGCTTTACAAACAATCAGACTTTCGGCATTCTCTATTCAGCACGCAATTCCAGACCACATGCTCTCTGTTAGCCACTGTGCAGATGTAGAAGATAAATAATGAACAAAACAAACTTTGTAAAACTTGGCAAGACAAAATGTAATGCATAGGGAAAGCATGCAGTGGGGGCCCCTAGTTTATTTAGGTTTGGTAGACAGACAGCCAACTTGGGGAAACCATCTTTGAAATGGGGTCTGAAAGAAATACAGATACTAAACGAAGTGTGTGGACACGGGAGGAAGAACAAGCAAGAGTGCAGAGATGCAGGCAGACGGGGCTAGCACAGTGGGGCTGCTTTGTGCAGTCAGAGGACAGCAGGTGGGGAGGCTAAAGTGGAGCGCTGGTGCTGGGATTGGGGGGAGGCTGAAGTGGAGAGCTGGTGCGGGGATGGGGGAGGAAGCTGAAGTGGAGAGCTGGTGCGGGGATGGGGGGAGGCTGAAGTGGAGCACTGGTGCGGGGATGGGGGAAGGCTGAAATAGAGAGCTGGTGCGGGGATGGGGGGCCTGAAGTGGAGCACTGGTGCGGGGATGGGGGGAGGCTGAAGTGGAGAGCTGGTGTGGGGATGGGGGGGTTGTCATTGCGAATTTGAATTTTAGTCCTTAGAAGGATTCTAACATAATTAGCAACATGATCTGATTTTGAACTCTAGATTTGTCAAAAAGGTGAAATGAACAAGAGGCAGAAATTGTATGAGAACACAAGAGAATATGATACACATAACTGTTCCCTTCCACAGTTGAGGTAAGTATATACGGTGAGGAACAGTGACAGATTTGAGAAATACATAGAAATTGAAGTCAACAAAACTTGGTATTTTGTTCTTAATGGAGGTAAAATTGCAGCTGACTGTGAGGATTTTTGTGGTAAGCATTTGGATAAACAGAAAAAATTATTTCACTGGCAAAGGTGCTTCCAGATTGGCTAACAAGTTAGTATTTCTAAAGTCAGAGACGCCAGTGAGAAACCAATCCACAGCAATAGAAGAAACCATTGGAATTCATCAGACAGATCTGGGACAGGTTACAAGTGTGGGAACTGTCTGTAGATAGAGTCATTACAGTTTGAACATGGATGCTATCACCCAAGACAACCACAGAGGAGAGAGGTGAGAACTGAAATAGGACCTCAACATCTCATGGTTGAGCCATGAAAGATGCAAAAAGAAGTCAGGGAGAGGAAAAGAAAGCCAGGATTCTGCCTTATCACAAAAGGAAAATGAAGGGTGTATTCCTAACAATCTTATGGCAGGCTAATAAATCAACTGTTGAAAATTGACCACTGGATTGGGTCTTCGAAGAACTCGGGGTCCCAAACCAGATTAGGGTGTGCTAGACAGGAAAATGGGTGCAGATGTCAAAGCACTTGGTGAGAGACATTTTTGCAGAAACCAAGTCTAAAGAGAAGGGTAACCTGGGATGCAGGGGGGAAGTCTTTAAACCTGGGACAAAATTATTAGATTATAGAGAAGGGTGTTTAAGTGATGGCAGGCAAGACACAGATGGATAGATCCAGAAATGAAACTAGAAACTTGGGCGGTGTGACATCAGCAAGTCCTCCCTCTAAGAAAGAAGTCTGATAAGGCATGGACACTAGGAGTGATCTACGAAGCAGATGGACCTGAGGGTGGGTGTGTTCCGAATGAGCCAATGAAGATTCTCCATCTAGGTGAGCTCAGGGGCAAAGGCAGCTAGCTGTCTGCTGGTTGTGGTGAGCAGGGTGGAGTAACTGGAAAGAAGTCTGGAAGCTAAAAGAAACATGAAATTGAAAAACGTAATAAGGCTGCCATTCTCTAGAGAGGAATTAAAAGTGAAGACACAAGGCTGGGCTCTCCGGTGTTTGTGGGAGCATCACACAGCAATGTGTAAGCTTGAAGGCCTGAAGTGAATGCACTCAGTGCTCATGTTAAAAAGAGGGGTGGGGCATGGACAATCCCAAGGCTGGAGAGGCAGAGACAAGAGGATCCCTGATGCTTTTTAAACAGCTGTCCTAGTTGACTGGTGAGCTTCCAGTGCAGGGAGAAAGCCTGGCTCAAAAAGTCAAGTAATGAGTGAGGAGATATATGCCATCCTCTGGTCCCCACATGTACAAATACCTGTGTGATCACAGATGCACTCGTACATATGCATGCAGACACACCTCATAAGAGCAATGATAAAATACTGAAGTTATCTCCAAACTTGGGATGTAATTTCACAAATAAAACACTACTGCGATACCAGAAACCAACTTCAATGAAATCTGAATTTGATAAAAGCAGATATATTTTCTATGTATCTTTCGCATAGAAAGCTTCACTGAAATAGGTCAGGTATTTGTATTTGCAATGAAACAATTCTTTCACTTTAACTAATTTTATTTTCAAACTTGTTTTTATTCTATTAGAAATAATTAGGATCCAATATTTTAAAGAATCAACATACTTTCAGATGATTCAAGTCTTTGCAATATTCTAACTCCAATGTAGCCTTATTGTCAGAGAATGAAGACAAGTTAGCAAAATATTTGAAGTTTGAATAGTATTCAGAGAGTTTTTCTACTATGTTTTATTAGTTGATGTGGTAGTTAGTTTTAAAGGCCAGTGTGACATGATCTAGAGCTACCCGGACATAGATTCTCCATGAGAGACTGTCTACATTGTCTGTGGGCATGTTTGTGGGAGATTGTCCTAATTAAGTGATGTTGGGAATCCAGCCCACCGCGGTCAGTACCATTTCTTAGACAAATGCCTGAGCTGTAAAACATGTGGAGAAATCCAACTGAGACAATGAGTACACATTGTCACTCTACTCTACTCACTCTATTCTTGACTGCAAATGTGATGTAGTTAGGAGGCTTCCACGCCATGATGGACTGTGAACTGGAACAATAAACAAATAAATAAACAATAAACAAAAAGCTACAATAAACTCTCCCTACGTGACTTTTTGTCAGGGCATTTTTATTTCAGCAGCAGATGTGAAACTAGAAATGTTAAGAAGGTGGCCTCCGTGAGGACTAACTCTGAATATCGGGCTCTCAAAATTCGGATGCTGGAACCTAATTGTAGGGAATGGTAGAGCTTCGGTGAAAGCAGGGGGCTTTGCCCTCGTGGTGCAGATCGCGGCTTTGTAACAGAGGATGAAGAGAGCTGCCCTGCTCTTGCCCTTGCTGAGAGACTAGCGTGTCTCGTCTCCAGACAGGGAATCTACTTGTACTTTCGTCTTGTACTTCCCTAACTGTGTGAGGAAGTAAAATACTTCTATTATTTCTAGATTGCTCATCACGAGATATAGTGCTCTAGCCACTGGAATTGACTAAAATGGGACAATACTGAAGCTTCTCCACTTCAGTGGAATCGTGTCTTAGACAATTCTACTACCAGTCCCTCCTTCATATTTTTATTAATATTAAATGAAGCCATCCTTGGAAAGTGGTGAACACAATGCCTGGTTACACCATTAGCTTTCAAGACGTTGTGGCCATCACGATTATTTCTAAGGTTTTCAGTGTCCTGTTTTAAATCTGAAGACACTATATTTTAAGGTGGACTAAGTAATCTGTTCTAAGTTCAATAAAATAAGAAAAACTGTTTACTGTATACAACCAGGTAAAAGCTATTTAAAAAGACAACTGTATTCAACAACCCTATTCCCTTTCCCGGGTTAGAGCTCAATTCAGTTTTACTCAGAAGAATTTCTAAGGATCTGTGTCTGACCCTGATGATGCAAAGATGAGCTGGAGTCCTCTCATTGCTTATTTGGTCGCTTTCTCTTACCTGTTTTTTTTTCTTCAAAGTTTATTAAATTATAAAAGTTTCCATTTCCGCCCCTCCTCCCAACACCCTCCCACTCCCCCACTCCCTCTCCTCTTCCCTCTCCATCCCTAAGAGCAGTCAGGGTTTCCTGCCCTGTGGGAAGTTCAAGTTCCTCCCCACTCCCTCCAGGTCCAGGAAGGTGAGCATCCAAACAGACTGGATCCCAAAAATCCAGTATATGCAGAGGAAACAAGTCCCAGTGTCATTGTCAATGGCTTCTCAGAAAGACCCCGTGCTAGCCACATTCAGAGAATCCAGCCACATTCAGAGAATCTGGTTGGATCACATGCTCGTTCAGTCCCAGTCCAACTGGCCTTGGTGAACTCTCATTAGATCAGTCCCCTTGTATCAGTGGGTGATCGCACCCCTCGCGGTCCTGATTTCCTTTTTCATGTTCTTCGTCCTTCTGCTCCTCATTTGGACCTTGGGGGGCTCAGTCCGGTGCTCCAATGTGGGTCTCCGTCTGTATGGCCATCCATCGTCGGATGAAGGTTCCCTCTGGTCTTGCCTTCTTTGCTCACGTTCTCTTTCCTTCTGCTTCTCGTTTGGACCTAGGGAGTTAAGTCCAATGTTCCGATGTGGGTCTCTGTCTCTATCTCCATCCATCGGCAGATGAAGGTTCTATGGTGATAAGCAAAATATTCATCAGTATGGTTATGGGCCAAGGCCGGTTCAGGCACCCTCTCCTGATTCCCAGATTGTTCTCTGGACAGAGGAGAGGGTGTCTCTTACCTGGTTTTAAGCCCACTTTTTCTTTCTATACTGAGCTCTGGCACATGTTGCTCCTGTGTCTGGAAACAACTCTTCTTCAGGTAGAGATCTGGTTCTTAGGTCCAGACAGCGAGCGACACTCCACCCCCAAACTTGCTCACATTTTCATTGTACTTATTTATTTATTTATTTATTTATGTGTGCACAGTTGTGCATGAACATGCACATGTGTACATGAGCGGGCATAGGTGTGGAGGTGAGAGAACAAACTTCAGGAGTCATTTTTCCTCTTCCAACATTTTAATTATTACCTGCTTTTATTCATATCTCTAATACAGCATCCTGTATAGTTTTCCCTGCTTCTTCCTAGGAAATCATCCATTGCCTCTCATTAGCCACTCTGTTTTCTTCTTTGCTATCACACCCAGTGATAAGGATGCAGTTTGAAGATGCTCAATGAAGCCTTGATGAAGTAATATAGTCACATGCTCATATAATGTATGTGCTTGTATACAATATACTAATGTGTATGAACATGTGGGTTTTTTTTAATGAGACTGGGTCTTACTGAATTATCTTGGCTAGTCTGAAACTCACTATGTAGACTAGGTTGTCCAGGAACTCACAAAGATCCGCTTGCCTCTGCTTCCCCAGCCCTGGTATTAAAGACATACTCCATCATACATGACTAATATACGTATTCTTCACCAGCTCTCCACAGTTAAGTGTTAGGTTGTTCAATTACTGTTCCACCATTTGTCCTTGGTCTCAGTCTAGTGCTGAATCTTATATTTCCTTTCTGCTTTAGTCACAGAACACATCTTGTCAGAACTGGCTGGATGCAGAGAGCATCTTGAAAAAGTACTACCTCTCCATATTTTACGGGATTGAGTTCGTTGTCGGGATGCTCGGGAACATCACAGTGGTGTTCGGCTACCTCTTCTGCCTGAAGAACTGGAACAGCAGCAACATCTATCTCTTTAACCTTTCCATCTCCGACTTTGCATTCCTGTGCACGCTTCCCATGCTGATAAGGAGCTATGCCAATGAGAACTGGATCTATGGAGATGTTCTCTGCATAGGCAACCGCTACGTGCTTCATGCCAACCTGTATACCAGCATCCTCTTCCTCACTTTCATCAGCATCGATAGATACCTGCTCATGAAGCACCCTTTCCGAGAACACATTCTGCAAAAGAAGGAGTTTGCCGTTTTAATCTCTTTAGCTGTCTGGGTCCTAGTGACCTTAGAAGTCCTACCCATATTCCCTTTCATCAACTCAGAAGGGACGGACAAGGACACCAGCTGCAGCGACTATGCAAGCTCTGGAATTCCTAAATACAATCTCATTTACAGCCTGTGCCTGACTTTGTTGGGCTTCCTCATTCCCCTCTCTGTGATGTGTTTCTTCTATTACAAGATGGTCGTCTTCCTAAAAAGGAGGAGCCAGCAGCAGGTGACTGCCGTGCCCCTGGACAAGCCCCTGCGCCTGGTGGTCCTGGCGGTGGCCATCTTCTCCGTGCTCTTCACACCCTACCACATCATGCGCAATGTGAGGATCGCCTCACGCCTGGAGAGCTGGCCACCGGGATGTTCGAAGGAAGTCATCAACTCCTTATACATTGTGACCCGGCCTCTGGCTTTTCTGAACAGTGCCGTCAACCCCATCTTCTACTTTCTCATGGGAGACCACTTCAGAGAGATGCTGATTAATAAGCTGAGACAGTACTTCAAGTCTCTTACGTCCTTCAGGACGTGAGCTGCTGGGTGCCGGTCTTCACTCAGCCAAATTGCTCTGCAGCTGAGGTAGCACCAAGTAAGCCACTGTCTCCAGGGTTTAGCTCCCCACCACACACAACGCTGAAGTAGAAACTGTGCCTGGACACCCAACTAGTTTTAGCTTAAATAGGTACAAACATACCAGAAGAGCAACTTTCTGTCCTTATTTCAGGTTGTACTCAAAATATGGGAAAATGTGCATTAAAAAGGATAGATACCTTCACCTAAGAACTGAAGGAGGTGAACTAATGGTGTCAATGCTGGGGCACTTAAGATCCAAAACCTTGGAACTTCTAAGAACTTTTCTATCAGTGTAAAATGAATAAAAGATAAAAGATAGATAAATCGATCGATCAATCGATAGATAGATAATCGATAGATAGATTATCATGTTTATCATGCTGCATGCATTTCATAATTGGCCAGGTTGATAACCATGTTTAGGAAATATTCCCTGCTATTTTTATTCTTGCAACATGAGAACATTATGTGAAAAATAAATAGAACTCAATATACACCATTAACTGTTATTTTTAGAAGTTATTTTCTGGAAAAATGTAAATAAGAGCAAAGCTTAATAAAGCAATATAATTAGGTTTTCTGTACTGATCATGAACTGTAATTCATCATTAATGTATCAGTCCTTTTCTTTTAGGTGGGCTATAGCAAGTAGGAATCTTAGTTTAGGTTAGTGGGAGGTAAAATGTTCAACGAAAGGTATGTTCTAATTTTGCTTTCTTGAAATTTGTCCATGATGAAAGTCCATAGTAAATTTACTCAAATATTGAAGGCACGTGTGATGAACAGATTCAGAAATTCCACCATTATAGAATTCTAAACATGTTGGAATCTCACAGCAAAATAAAGCACACCAAGATGAAGTCACTGTTTCTATGACAAGCGTGCTGTCTGAAATTTTTGGTGTCACAATCTGATGTCCAGAACACAGAAATATAGAAAAAGTCCCCTCCACTTCCATTGTCCCAAAGCAGAGAACTTTAAAGCACATTATTGGGGCCAGAGCATAGCATTAAGAGCACTTGCTGCTCTTGCAGAGGTTTCGGTTCAATTCCCAGCACCCAACACTGAGCAGCTCCCAGCTCCCTGTAACTCCAGCTTCATGGGAGCCAATGACACATTCTATGTTCCTTGAGTGCCCGGCTGTACTTGCTTCACGTACAAACAAGCAGGCACACACATACTCAATAAATACATCTATCAAAGAAAACGAAATGATTAATTTCAGAAACCAGCAAACAAGTGGCAAGGAACTATCCGTTCCATGTTCATTGGGTAGTTTCCTTGAACGTAGCCCTGCACCCGTGCGAAATGTCTGAGAGTTATTTTGAAAAGAACAGGAATGTCAGTCAGAGAGCGCTTTCTCTCTTCTTGGGTTAACGCTCCCTTTGGCTTCTGTCTTCACTCCTGACCTCTTCACATAGTTTCTCACATGTCCTCAGATTTCACAGACTTTTTTTTTGGTATGAAATGTGACTAAATTTTACTCATTAAACCATTAGCCGAATCATTTCCTCTCGAAGAAAACAGGCTTAAAAGTAAAACATAACTCTAAATCCCTTACTAGCTCTAATTCCTAGTCAGATTTATAAGGAGGGGAAAAAAATCTCATGCTCATATTTCATCTTGCCCATCTTTTGTTTCTAGGTGATGTGTCTATTCAAGTTGCTTATTTGTTTCCCTTATATAAGTCTGAAACCAACTTCTGCAATTATTTTCAACAAAAACCAACATCTGCTTTTCCCATCATTGGCCTGGCAGATCGTGTCCTTAACCTACATGAGGCCCTGCATAGATCCTAACATGCACACTATTGAAGACCAATATCTGACTTCCCATCTCCTCAGCACAGGCATACCCAGGAAAAGTAAATTTGTGGGGCAAAATTTTGCCCCCCAAAATTAATTTTTTTGTTATTTGTATCAAACCTACTTACCTACCCCAATATCTTACCAAAGGATTTTTTAAAAAAGAAATGCAAGTTACTCATAAAAGAAATTATTGCTGAAATCCGAAGGGATTTAAAATTTATTCATCGCTCAGGTTCTTGTTTTTTGAGGAGAAATGTTTAAAATACTGTCCTACTCATTGCCATAGGAAGGTAAGGAAAGAAACTGAGCCAGGCGTGTGGACAAAACACAGGCATGATTGGGACTGCATTCTAAGACCACATCAAGATTAAGCCCAGTCGCGTCGGCTACCCTGGCAGTGGAATGCAGCATGTTCCCCTCTCAGTCCCCACCCCTGCCCAATGTCATCATCAGGAGGCTGATTCCATCATGCGGTACAGAATATGAGCTGCTGAGTATTGAGTGCATCGGTTCAGGAACAACAAGGCAACTCGTGCAGATCCATAAAAACGAAGCAGTTTTTACTCAGACCTGCCGACCGTCCTGAGATCTTTCTTCTGTTTCCGAAGAGATCTGGAAGCAATCAACACCCAAGGTTTCCCAAGTGACGTCTCTGATTAGATTCACAGGTGCAAATTCATATAGAAACCCTGCTGTGGTCTTAGGGTCAGGTCACATTCTAAACCGTGGTTATTAGTAACGAACCAGACGTTCCCTTCTTTTTCTTTATTTTGGATTTCTATTAGAAACTTCCTTTTCAGAACCTTAGCGGGAAAGACGTATTCGTGGTCAGAATTCGGGCACCAAATGTCATCCTAAATATTTAATCCAAATGATGGCGCTGCACTCAGGCAGAACTTTAACGTGTGCCAGGCGTAGCTCATGGGAACTCACAGAATCTGAAACAGCTACAAAGGCGCCTGCATGGGATCGGCCTCGATCCTCTGCATATATGTGACGGTTGTGTAGCGTGGCCTATATGTGGGACTCCTAGCAATGGGAACAGGGCTGTTCCTGGTGCTTTGACTGGCTCCTGGGAACCTATTTCCAAGATTGCCTTGCCCAGCCTGAATTCAGGGGGAGGTGCTTGATCTCATGGCAGCTGGATAGGCCAGGCTTTTCTGAAATGTGGAGGCCGAAAAATGCAGGCCCATTTCCATCATGTCTAACAGAGAGCTTGGAGACTGAAGGCATAATTGTACCTGCTAACTCAGGAAGTGGTTGTCTGGCTCCCTTGAAATTAAGATAGCTCAGTGTCATCCTGAGGGATGGTTAGGATATGCAAATGTACTTCTGCTCCTTCTCTTGTAACAATGAGGTCACCTAGGGAAGGGCCTTCTTCAGCAGACATGACTTGGAGCACTTAGCTGCTTAGACAACAGAACACTAATGATTTGATATCCCAGAGTTGACAGTGAGAGTTATCCTATGTATCATGTTAGTAAAATCTTTTGCTACCTTCTCCCCCCGTTTATGTTGGGTATGAAAGTTGTGAAAAAAAATAAACTTGGAAATTTTAGAATTTCAATCACTGCAATGCCCTCCCGATACTCTCTGTCTTCTGTCTTATTTTTATGGTCTTCATAGTCTTTACTTCTATTTCTTCAATTCCCACACTCCTACCCCATAAGAAGCATTTTTGTTGAGGCTGGTCCTCGACACTGAACCTTATGAGAGGTGGGCCCTTTTCTGAGAGATTACATAGGAGGAGTGGATGGAAGGGGCAGAGGGGAGGAGTGGGGAGGGATTGGGAGGAGAGGAATGAGAGGAAGCTGTGGCTGGGCTGTAAAATAAATAAATAAATAAATTTTAAAAATAAAATAAGAAACTATGCCAGGCTCTGTCACTTTGCATACTTTGTATACAAACTATCATCAAAGCTAGGGAGGGTTAATAGATGCAGACACCCAAGGGTGGAGTTTAGTGGCGTCTCAGGGTCATATGGCTGAAGTTGAGAGACCATGATCTCATACAAACTCACCACACTGCAATGGCAATGAAGGCATAATACTTTCATGTCAGTTTTATATCAACTGTGAAGATGTTGACTTTGAAGATCATCCCATAATCAACCTCAGTGAAATCTGCTGATATTAAAACTCTAGATAAAGACTCCAAAACCATGTGAGGATGGGCTCCTATCAGAGTCAGTGCAGGTTCACAGGCAGGATAGTTCTTGACCTTTCCATAGAGAGTGGGACCCAGTAGTAACATTTTTACAGCATAAAATAAGTTTTAGAAAATGTATTCTATCTAGGTAGAACTTTTTATTTTAACTAATGACTAGCTATGTAATGTTTGTATAAAGCAAGGGTCTTTCTTTAGTAATGCAATCCTGCCACATGACACAGAAAGCCCTGTTTTAGAAAGATTTCCAGGAAATCCGTGAGTTATGGTCATATTCTCCCACCCACTAATCAAACAAAAAGCACTTAATTAGAAGACCTGCTTTCGATTGAAAGTAACTTCATGTTAAATCACAAAATTTCTGGGACTACTAGCTCTAGCTAGAAAAATAGTGATTGGACCTGGTTTCCAAAAGGTAAATTATTTCACATCAACATTCATGTTACATTAGTCTACCTTAAGTGGGCCAATGAGTAACATGTACTGCTACAGTGATATTTGCACCATTCTTACGGAGAAAAGAAACAAGGACTATTGTGTGCATAGTTTCTAGCTTTGCTACATAACTCACTAGTCCTGTCCCAGTCCTATGCCCAGTGTGCTACTGATGAAACAGGCCTTAAGAGATTTCATTAAGAAGTTTCCAGAAAAAGGGCCAGAGTTGACTTTGAGTCTTAGATCTGTCTGACTTCCACATATGCCAGAATCTTGCTCTAGCGTTTTATTTGAACATCAAATCCCCACGGCATTTCCTTGTGAAACGCTTTCCAAATGACCACTTAATCTAGAGAGATCTAAGTACTGGGGTGTTTGCAAAACTATGGGTCGTAGCTGCTCTATGAAAGGGCTGATCACAGGAAAGAGTTTTAATTGTTTTGTTCCTGGAAAAAAAAATGTAGTTTTTGTCATATAGTGTTTAATCTTCCAGAATAGAGTTTGAAGTCAATGTAAGGAATGCTGGCTTCGCAACTTCCTATTGAATGGTGTATTAAGTTAAATGTACAAAGGTGTGTGTATAAAAAGCCTTGGCCCCAGTTCTCTCATGGCCAGCTGTAAGATGATAGTGGGGAAGGATGAGAGGGAGGACCTATCCCTGCACTTGATAAGCCATTGCTGAAGCCCTGCCTATCTCCCACACACATTGCGCAAGCTTCCTGTGGGGCTCAAATACGTGACAGAGTGGATAATAAACATTTAGTCAGAAAGCTGGTGAATTCTGAAAGACTAACGTATACTTACAGGATGATTACCACACTGGGGAAAGCAGCATGTGGTTTGCATGCAAAAAGGGTTCTTGGAAGGGTAAACAGAATGTCACCACTGTCAAAACACAGTCACACAGGCAAATTCAGTTGTAGCTCATCCAGGGGAACAGTCTTGCCCAGAGAACACAGGCAGAACTGAGGACAGGCACAATATTAGTCACGTAGAGTTTTATCTGGTCGGAGTCTACAAGACTGATGTCTGAATTATTTGAATAAAGGTAAATATAACCTGATTCCAGATGAGTTGTTTATTTCAAATATTGCAAAGCACCGAGGCAACAGCGGATTAACTAAGTGAACAACCAGCACACACAGTACCAAACTCCCAAGTAGTAAAAGACGAAAGCACATATTTTCACACACTTCACCTAAAATCCAGTAAGTTGTTTTGAAACACAGATGCCTTGTATAAGCATCCGGTCATGGTTACGGTACCTGTGAGAATCTGGGATGTGAGAGGAAAGGGAAGATGTACCAGGTACTAGGGCACTACTCAGAAAGCAAAGACGAAGGGTGAACTTGTGGGAGAAAGCAACTGACGTGGAGGCGTGTGCTTTCACAAGCATGTGCGGCCCCATACTAATATTCACTCAGGATCTTAGAGTTTCCCAGTGGGCACAACATAAATGGGGAAACTCATTGACATTTTACAGTTCTATCATGTTCACAAATGAGTGGAGCTGACAGTCCCACTATATTAACCAAACAATCATCTTCTTCCTGTGTCCCATTTGCTCACTAAACACTAGGAGGGACTGAAAAGATAAACCTCTGATGTGGAGATGGATCCTAATTCATTAAAAACAAGCATAAAGGTTGTGTTTTGATAGACAGGTAGGATCCTGTGACTGCTTGCCAGTCCTGCAATAAACCTGCTTTTTAATAAATGTCTTTCGAGATATCTGATATTTGCCAGACACTTTGTTTTATATTGGGCTATAAATAAACAATACTTTCTTTGGATTAACTCAGGGTACTAAAAAGGCATAGATAGTGTAGTCTAAGCAAACACAAAAAATGCACCTGGATGACTAGAATTGCAAGGAAGAAGAGACATAATTCCGGCTCAGTGTGAATTTGGGGATAAAGAAAGTTCTACAGAGGTCTTTCATGGTCCACAGTCCTGAACAGAGAGTGGAGTTGGGGAACACAGCCTGTGGAAGAAAATGGGACAATGTGAAAACATAATTCCACCAGTGTGCAATTTCAGACATCCTTGATGTCTCTGGGAAAAGAGTTGTCACATTTGAAGACTGAGCAGCTTGCACTGAAGCATATAAAGAATTTTCCAGAATTTTTAGATCAGAGCTTTTTAGCAAGTCCTTTTGTTGTTATTGTTGTTTGGGGGAGCTTAAACAAGAAAGAAAATAAAGCCTACTGAATGGTTAAGTAATTATTTTATCAGGACATCATCTTGCCCTTGTCCCACTTTCTCTGTTGGCATTATTCAGCATAAACAGCCTCCAGTGCACACTTAAATTTCCTTGGTTTTTCTCTCAAAAAATTTATTCTCAGGCATTGACTTTTGCATGTAGTGTGACTTTTCTTAACAATATGGTTGACTAAACAAAATCTAAATAATGCCAACGTCGGTCAACATGCCAATGAAGATAAAGTGAAATTTTGAAGGCCCACTACTAGGTGAAGAGCTTCAAGGAATCAATTACGACTGAGAAAAAAAGAATCAGCCCTGATAGGTTACACATACATACACACACACACACACTACATATGTTCTTAAGATCAGTGCTAAGTGAACTCTGCAGGTTTTATACACACATGCACATGCCTATATAAACGTGTATATGTGTGCATATATAATGTGTGTAACAATGATAATTAAGAAATCTTGAGCTTGAGACGGGGGGATGTGGGAGGAGTTAAATGGGGTAGTTGGAAGCATAGAAACCATGCAGCTACAGTACCTCCATATGAAACTTTCAGAAAAATTAAAAATTTAAATTAAAAGAGAAAATTATAACAGATAGGTAACACATTAAATTTTAGGTTTATAAAAATGAACAGTGAAATAATCCCTACAATATCATATCACCAAACAGTAATATAAAGTGATTTATTTTGAGAACATAATGAAAGAATTTTAAAATTTGACAGCAATTGGACTATGTTGAGCTTGAGAAAGAAGGGATTATAAACTGACTTTTATGCTGCATTTAGCAATACTGAGATGCTGAAAAGACTTCCTAAAAGCATTCAGTTTGCCAAGTCACTGAATAATTACTCAGGAGGTATTTGGGGATATGTTTGATTTTTGAATGATAGCTTTATTGGGAAACACTCAATATGTACTGGTAACATATCTTATTCAAAAGTTTCTCACAATGAACTTTTGGTGACCTTTTGACCATTTGATATTTCATCAGGCTTTCACAACGCAAAAACTACCTCATTTTCAATAAGTCATGTCATTTATTAGAAACCTTTCTTTCCCAAGATGGTATTTAACTGTTTAACTACACGTCTATATGGAAAAATTAAACAAGTATTTGCTTAGAAATTTATGGTGTATACACGGAATACTGAAACTGTATAAATTGAAGGTTATGGTACATATACATATATATGATGTATAAATTGACAACATGACTGCTCCAAGGTAAGGGTCAGCACAGTTTTTGTTGTGGACATGAGAAAGAGTGTGGCAAGGGACACCTGGAAGAGTTCAGAGCAGAGAGAGAAAGCTGTAGATTGAAAATGGCCAGGAACCTGCATCTGACCATGATAGGAAAGAGAAAGTGGGGGCTAATGAGAGAGGAAGACAAAGAGAGGACCAAGAGGGAGGACCAAAGGAGGCCATAGGAAGAGAATTAAGAGAGGAAGACAAAAGAGAGAGCAAAAAAAATCAAAATAGCAGGGTTATAAGGAGCCGTGAGTAGCTGGGAAAAGGGAAGCCCATGGGAGGGGAATTTTTAGGGTAAGGGGCAGTATGGGAAAGCCAGGACGCTAGCATGGACTCTGGAAGGTGTAACAGGTACTTGCAATCTCTAGGGAGCCTGAAGACCATGTGCACTTTGCTATGTTAATAAACATCGCACACAGCCTTTCTCCCTGTGAAATGGAAACCCTGTCCTTTGT